AGATCTTTGTGGCGCACGCGACGCTTAAACTTTTTTAAATATCCTCAAAGTATACGTGTAAATGACGTAGTTTTTACACTATAGTTAATTCACCTACAGTATGTGTTTAATTATTTATTCATATAGCTTATATTTGCTATAAACTTCGCTATCCAAGTGCTGGCCAAAGTCGGCCAAAGATCGTATTTTCACGTAAAGGCGCACGTGATTTTTGTATTGTTGAAAAGAGAATTCCTTGCATAAGTGCATATAAAGCTATTTCTTACTAATAATTCGCGTTAACACATTATTTTGTCATACAATCAAGAAATTTCACAACTATCTGTAAATGTATCTCCGTAATTTGATATTTGTCACCAGTTTCGCTCTTTTGTGGAAGAAATCGTAAATTGGCGAGGTATGGATCGTTCGCTTTAGTCAACTTGGGTGCGTGTGGGATCGCGGCTAGTGTGCTTTGCTGAATAGGTGAAGGTTTGTCTCTGTCATTCATGTAGCCATAGTTGAATAACTGTACACGATAATTGAGGTCCTCCAACGTAAAACATTTTTCATGATTATTGAAAAGCTTTAGCATCTCCTTGCATTCATACTGCAATACCCCTTTTAGTACATCATGCATGGCATCTCCAGGAAGGCCATCAATAACATGAAAATGTCAAGAGTTGCACAAGATTGATTTTCGTTTCACTCCATAAGTCTTAGAAAAATCTGGATTGATATCTATTTGACGACAATGATGATTGTGACCTTCCTTAGTTCGTAACTCAAAGTTCTTCTCTAAGCACAAAAAATAAACTCAATTTGACATGCACATTATATATTTAATATCATATTGAAAATTAAGTATTTCACGATACATATGCAGTTTTCTTGGTTTATTTCTTTATTCCATACCAGTGAAGTGATAAATTCATGAGTGCCCATACACTCTCTGCACTTTAAGTAAGAATCCGGACCTTCTTTAAATCTACCCAGGAGCTGTGAACCAAGATCATCCCCACAACAGTAAATTATGGTTCCTTGTAGTTTGTGTATTTGCCACTATTTTTAAAACCATATTCCTCATCCTAGCATGAATATTGGAAAATGCAAATACATACGAACAATTGCACAATAAATTATTATTGTCCTGTAGTCACTTGCATGAGAAAAAAATTGTGGTGTAAGAGCCTAGATTTGACGTAGTAGCCTCGAGTGATACATGGAAGCTCGAGAAACAAGTGAGGTCTTTTGCTATAGTTGTAATATTACACGAATTAGAGCACCTGTCCCATAAAGTTAGTAGTAGGCATTTACATGTGCCTACAACACATATAAAATTATGTCGTTTTGCGCCACAGTCACATAGATAATTCCGTTGTTTTTGTAACAATGTATCAATTTTACCTTCTCAACTTCCATCAAATCATTCATAAACGGTTCCAAAATGGCATCTCTACCTTTTTTTTATCAAGAGGAACGGTAAAAAGTGCGACTAGTTGAATGGCATTAAGTTGCGGTCTGTTCTCTGGTTTAATATTGCCCAAAGTGTGATTAACTGTTCCTAGAAGGGAGTTATTACTTTAAAAGTTAGTTCTTCTATGCCAATAATTCTGGTGTTTGAGAAATAGTGGGTGAGAAAGCTGAAACGTACAATTTTAATCATAGTCATATCATTAAATATAGCACATAATTAGAATTTCATGACGTCAAACACCAATTAATTACCTAATTTGTGTTTTCCAGCCTTACTTCCAAATGGATTTGCTATCGCCAGTTCATCGTAATAAAGAATTACTTGAATTGCCAGAGGATTTCTCGAAAACAACGGATGGCATTGGTATAGCTGAATATCGCAGAAATCTCTAATGTAAACATTGGTACTTTTATGGGCGTTTGATACCTGTAATGAACACTTTATTGTTCAATTGGGATTATGGGATTGTTTGTTTGACCTAAAGAAAGCAAAATTTCAACTAACAATTTCGTTGAATATCGAAGTACCAATGATATAGAACGATATAGAACGAAGTGTCCAGCCGCAGTCTTCAGGTCTTAATTTAATGATTACCATACAAACGGCAACCCCATTTATATTTTAACAAGTAATAACAGCCACTGAACGGTTAATAGTTTTAACTAACTCATTGAATTACCTGAGAAAGAACTGTTGACTGATTGAGCATTTGTTCCATGGATTTTAGCAATGGGACATAAACGAATTCCTCGTTAACAAAAAATTTTTTATTACCTGCTCCAACACGTCATTTTTTTGATACATGGCCAAGTAGTATATTTCTCCTTTTTGATACATAGTCAAATAGTATACGTCTTAGTTCCATAATTTCGAATGTAGTTACTTTATTATAAACTAAGATGATTGCATGCATTCCAAGAATATTACAACACGTGTTTTGTATACCTATACAGCTTGAATAAATATATATATTGTCTAGTATAATCTAGTGAGCGTGCTCAGATGTGAAGGTGTTAAGTATTAACCATTATTCTTACTACTAAGGAAAAAATATTTTTCTGAAATACTGTTTGTTGATGCTTTTTTTCAGTATTGGCGAAAGGGTTTGATAAAGGGTGATCATGGTCGAATTAGTCACTTAATCCTTCGATGGTCGTTAGTTCTATGCCATCTTTGCCAGTGTCTTTGCCACTTCTTTTAACGATCTTAGGGTTCTTTTAACAATGCCAGCTGTACGTACCTTGAACCACACTATCAAGTGATGTTTAAGTGAGAAAGTTCTTTTCCTTTAGCTTCAGTAGGTAGAGAGCTTTTGCACGTTTCATCTTATTCATTTAATCTCCATTCTGAGTGCCAACTATTTCTTCACCTTCGTGCACAACTCTTCCATCTTGATTCACTTCTTCGATGCCGTGTGTTGATTGCGCTACTGGCTTCTAAATATTAATGTCTCTGTAAGTACGACGTAGACGACTTTTGTGAGAAAAAACTCGTGTAAAGGTTATTGACATCCAGGTATATCACATGTTATGTGTAAACCAGGATCATTTTGATAGACCAAAACTAAATGACTGACAATTTCTGATATAGTTGGTGTAAAAAAATCAGTACATATTTGGCACGTAACAAGGTTCATTATTATCACTATTTTATAAAACTATATAATCAGCGCAAGGTTTTATTTTGTAAGTTACACAGAATTGTAAAAAACCAACAAAACAAGCTAGCGCTCCGAAAACTTTTATTCTTTTTGTAAATCAGTGTTTCCACTTTATAAGTTGTTACATCATTTTCACGACATCGCAAAGCTTTGTGGTATATTTGCGCAAAAATGGAATCCTTGTAAAGTGTTACTGAACATCGCTAGCGTCTTGCCGAGGTTTTTTACTCGGTTTTTTGAGTAAAATAAAACTTTTTGGTGATGTCTTTACTGTCAAAGCTCTAGTGCGCAAAACATTGTTATTTTTCTCCACGCTAATACTTTGTCGAGTTCAGTCAACGTATTTGAAGATAATTTGAAAAAATTCAGTTCACGGTTCCGTTTCTTGCTCATTGAAATGCAAATTGTTGTCTTTTTAAGATAACGAAATCGATGGAGAAGACTTTTTAGCAATGAAATTGGTTGGAACATGCTGATAGCAAGTTTTAAAGATAGGAAAAAGTTGTGGACCTCGGTTACCGGCATGGTAAGTGAACCGTTGGTGAAAAATGTAAGATGTCTTTGATATTATGTGTGAATCAGCTTTCCAAATGTAAATATATGCTCTGTTTATTTTGTATGAAAGCAAACTGCACAGTTAGCATCGATGCAAGTGCGGATTATAAATCATTAAAGTGACTATATCAGTAATATTGCCCTAAGAAAAATAATCTATTTAGATAGAGTTGATGATTTAACAACATTTGCTATATATCTTATAAGACATAATTTGATCTTCCTTGACTTTTTTGATCTCAAAGTTAACTTTGTTTCGTGTTTGACTGCGAGGTGTTGTGAGTGGGGCTAGCTCTGCTAACGTGACGTACATTGCAGAGCACGCTGCTTTTTATCGCTGTAGTTTATAGTGATATTCTTTGCAAAATGAAGGAGTGTATTTTTATTAAACTTTAATTGTATTGGTCTCTTTATTATTGAATCATACTATAATTCTACGGAGTTAAAAAGAAGCGTGTTCTCTAATGTACCTCACGTCCAGTGAACTAGACCCAGACATAGCACCTCGAGGTCAAATACGAAAGAAGCCAACATAAAATATATAGCAAATGTTCTTAAACTCTATCTAAATGAATTATTTCCCTGAAGTTGATATAGGCACTTTAATGCCTATATTCTTTTTATTCTAAAAAGTTGTATTTTTATTCTATTATTCACCAAAACTTTACCTTCAGATATAAAGTCTTATTTACTATTTTAACCAACTGTTTTGCAAATTTTGCACACTCACAACTTTAGCAGCGTTTTCATAACTGTTCCGTTTTTTTATACACCCTGTAGCTATAATCATATCCTTAAATTTTTGATATTGCGTATAATGATATTAGCTTGACATTATAGATATACTCCTTTTTTTTACGGAACTGTGCTGAGGCATTGCTCATATAGACGACTTTTATTTTAACTAAGAAGGTACTATTCTTACCATCTCTTCCAAACCGTCGCCAGTATTATCATTTTTCTCAATCGTAGCTGTATCGCAAGAATTTTTATAGCATAAAGGGGACAGGTGTTTTGGTAAATCAGTGTTGACAGGTGGCGAAACTGAATGAGTACTGCTTGACTGGAGTTCATTAATTAAAGTTTCCAGGCTTTTGACAATAATGGGTGATTCTGAAAATGAAAGAACTTACATTTCAATTGTTGAAAACATTGCTAGTACTTGTTACTAATCCAATATTTACCTTTCACAGAATTCATCAACGCAGCTAAATTTGTCGTCTGTAACTTCAAGTTTCTGCATTCTTCGGAAAATTCTTTTAAACAATTTTTGCCTTTTTTTAGCTGTAAAAAGGACGTACTGTCCTGTAAACAAAGCATTTGTAGAAATAATAATTTAGGTCATTTATAATACCAATACCCTTTCACCAGGCAAATCTCAAATACGTTAAATAAGAAAGCAAAACTTACTCTATCTGGGCAACGTCAACTGCTAAGAACTGCAAAAAGTTTATATACTTACAGAACCATTCTCGTTTAAGTTGTCTTCTTCATTTTGCACTGTTTCAAAATTTAAAAAATTAGTAAAACATTTATATTAATCACAATGCTTAAGACTCCCGAGAAGATTGCCCTGCGCTGTGAAACGAGTAGCGACAACATATACTTTTGTTAAACTTATTTTATTTCAATGTTTAAATATATATTCCCACTCAGCGTATGAATTAATCTAAAAAAGTGCATTAAGAGTACTCATACAATGCTCGCCTAACTAAACTAACATATTTGAAAATGAGAAGAACGCACATTAGCTGTGATTAATTGACAAAAGCTTATGAAACACGAAAATATTTCAAAACTCATTACTTCTAACTATCGTTGGCTGTAAATAGACGTCAGAATCACATCCAAAAATGGCCATCCTCCATTATCGAGAAAGTACTTAATGGATAAAAAAAGGAAAAACAACTTTTTTGGTAGCTAGCTTCTCGTCAGAGATTGGTTGATTTGATTGAACACATTGTTAATTGATCTTTTTGGAGTCCCGCGCTTTTTAACTCAAGGTTAAATGTCTTAACTCAGAGTTAGCTAGACCAGTGCTTGAACCCTACTTTAAAAACAAAATTCTAACCCAGGATTAGCTAACCCCATGTTAACAAATCAAACCCTAAGTTAGTTTTTACCATTAAGCTATGTCCCTTTAAGAAGCAACTGGTCAATGATCATGTACTCCTTGGAACATATTAATACTAATGAAGCATCAAGTAATTAATACAATATGAATACCTCTATTTGTTTATGTTTTCTTTAACCATGTAATATATAAGGAGTTTTTCTTTGAACTATCTTTCTACACTTTTCTTCTCTTTAAAGGGGGCTAAATAAAAACAATCATATAGACAGTAACGCCTTTTAGTACAATATTTAGCACTTTCTACAAAAGCTGGAATCCAAATGTGATACCAAAAAGATTGTAATCTCCAATCACGATAAAAAACATACTTTTTTACTTATATGTGAACCAAACTGGACTTCATAATCCTCCTTATCGGAGTCGGAATGGTATTTATAATTCCTTTGTGAGATTCTTTGACCTTTTCCTCTTTTAGGAGTTGAAGTTTTCCACTTTTCAGATACATCTCTAAGCATGAATCCATGGAGTCAAAGTCATCTAATAATAAAATGTAGAATACTTTGATTTTTATAGTTTTATAACCAAAACTTGTAGAGAAAGTATAGATACTCATTCTCATGACAAAAATGGTATATATCCAGCAATGTTTTTATAAAAGTAAGTGTCCGCCATATTGTCACTTTCATTTTTATAAATTTAGTTTATACAGAAACGATTATTCGAAATATTTATACGTTTTAAATTTATATTTTGCAGTGGCATTTCAAAATCAAAATCAAACGCCAACCTCCAAATTTTAAAATTCTTGCTGGATATCTTTCGCTTTCCGTTTTGATTGTATCTACATCAATTTTTTCGCATTTTCGTTTCGCTGCATTGAAGTCTATGGGCCACTTGACAATTATTTCGTGGGTAAAGAGCCAGGATTCGTTGTCAAATGTTGTAGAATTTTCATCTTGTATCCATGATGTTTGGCCAATATCAAAGTATTGTCTCCAAAATCGAAAATCGCAAACTTCATTCTTAACTTTCACAATTGGTCACCTTTACAACAGCGAGCTGCAAAACGATGAGAACAACTTGAACTTGATTACTTGAGTAACAGGGAAATTTGCTTTGTCACCTTGGTGATGTCAGCTCAGCATTGATTTTAGTGTGGTAATGGCGGTAAATATTAATTGTAGTAATTTCACCGCTGACTTGAACAAACGCTTGCTGCTTTCGTCCTGAGCAGTCTGTCATGAATATTCTTCAAAATTTGTCAAAATTTAGCGTTTTGATAAAACTTGTATTCGCGGTTTTGTAATTTAAGCTTTTCTTATGCTTTACAAATGATATGCAGTTGATTCCACTGTTGATCTTCCAAGAAGAACAAAATATAGACGACGAAAGCAGTTGCGTGCTACGATGGAGATAGATCAAGCAACTTCATCTGATATGGTATGGAAAATTTCATTTAGATATTATTTCTGGTAATATTGTTTTGTTAATGCTTCAAAATTTTATCCCATACTTTATGCACACTACACAATTAAATGTGTCTCTATTCGCATATATTCAAACATTTGTGTAACATACCTCTTTTGCCTTTCCAAGCATGATTGGCATTAATACATTGTAATTGAAGTATTAATTATAATTGTATTACATGATACACTTATATCTGTGCTTCAAAAAATCAAAATGGAACTTTTGTCGGTAATTTTGCAGGAGACATTGTACTTTTACTTTTGTGTAAGCTTGTAGCAAGAAACAGGAGCTCCTTAAATGTCCAGTTATAATTATGTCTATTAATGAATTCATACAATCAAAAATGATGCGAAAGTACTTGTCAAATAAAATTTGCATGTTGAAATTGCATTTTTATACTTTTAGCAATTGAGTGCATTTAAAATGAAGTTTCCCTGCCAATTAACCAAAACCAAATTCAATCAAGCCAAAACTAAACAGAGGGGTTTTCCAGGTGTTGTATCATATGCTTGAGAATGATTGTATTCTATTTAATTCCCAGTGGTGAAAAACTTAATTTTAACATGAAGCTGTTATTTGAGGAGTTCATTAACTGGAAAGGTAAAGGGCTTTGGTAGCTTGCTGTATTCAAATATAACCTTAGAACACAAGGTGTCAAATGCATGGTTGTCTATAAAATTTTGATTTAAATTTTTTGATACTCATTGTATGTAATGGCGAGTCATGCAATTTTGTTTGTTGTACAGATTGTAATATTGAATTTGGATGCAAATAGATTTAGAATAAATATACATAGATAGCGATATTAGATTAGACATTTCTTTGTATTGACACTATTCATTTTGTTGAGCTTTCAACTTGGTGCTTCAATTCAACTTGCGTGTATGACAGTGTGCTCAATACATGTAAATAAAAAAGATATTATTCTTATTGCTATTGTCCAAGTCAGTTTATCAATGGTGTATAAGCCTATAAGTGCATGTGTTCATACACATACATTATATCTTTCATTATATACATTATATCTCATAAATATACATTATCTCTTTCAACAATCAAATAACATTACAGACAATGATCAAAGTGTTTATAAAGCATTGCAAACTGCATTTCATTGACCACTTAAAATGTCGTAATTTTCATGTTAGCTAGCTTGTGCCAGTGAATGGTATAAAAGATGTTTCTACCTTCCTTTTCTATGCAAATACCAATATCATCTTGTGACATTACATTGCATAGTCATATTTAGACTGCATCAGTTCTCAATACGATTAAAAGATTTATTGACTAGTACGAGAAAATAATCAATACATGGCAGATAGGGGTGTGAAAATTTGATGCACTTCAAAATATTTGCAAATCAAACGTTAGTTATGCAAAGTGATTTCATTACCAGAAAATTTGCATAATGAACAAATTTCAATATCAGTTTAACAAAGATGATTATAAAATAAACACAATGAAACGTGTCTGCTGATTGGTCTAAAGCTGCATTGGATTAGCCTTTGAAAAACAATCTGCGCTCAACCAATCAAATCAATCGATCAATCTAAAGGAATTTGCAAATCGATCATGAATACATGTTAGAAGAATAATAGAACGTTTTGTCTGTTTCACATTATTATTATTTTATTAAAGAAATAAAAGATGTTTTTTATGTTTGCACTGGCTTATGCAAACCTCGGAGACGTTTGTGAGAACTTTCGAGCAGGTGCAACCCTCAACGTTCAGTCTCGGGCTTGCAATGATCTGCACCCGAGCTCTCCCAAAGGTCTCCGTGCTTGGATAAGACTATGCAAACACAGTAAACATCTTTTATTTCTTAAAAAAATAGTTTGTACGATGCTAGATGAGCTTGAATAGTTATTGTAATGTTTTTAGAAAACAGTCTGGCAAAATTTTGTTTCATTAACGCTTTAATCGATGGAACATATATTTGAAAGACTAGATTCAAGGTCATCAACATGATCAAAGACACAGGCACAGGCATGTCAGGAGAATGGAAAAATTGATGTTGATTTCCAGCTTAATAATAATGGCCTTGGACATGAAGCACTGCAGGTGAATGTGAAACATCATACAGTATGTAGAACCAGGGGAGGCAGATAATCAAGGATTGGGAAAGAGGGCTAGTATCCACTTTTTTGTGTGTGTTCTATTTTATCAATTTCTTTTGAAATCCATTTTAATTATTGATTATAGAACATGAATATATGAACATGAACTCCCTCCCACCTCTCATAATAGCTACTACATTCCGATTTACACTCAGAATTTGTATTTAGGTTTTAAACATCGAAAATGGTGATGAAGAAATATATCCTGGTGCTCTTATAACAAAGTCTCAAAGTGTTCTCCTGCTCGTCGCATTTTTATTAAAGAACAATTTAACAGATGCAGCTTTGACTGATCTACTCGACATTTTGAGTTTGATTTTGCCGAGCACGTTTCCATCCAGCAAGTATAAGTTTTACAAAGCAATTCAATTGGAGGAATCTCAGGTAAAAGAAAACTATTTGAATTTTTCTAATATGGTTTTCTTTATAACGACTTTCGACTGGAATATGTAGTTAGCTTCGTGCATTTAATATCTTAAAATTCAACTTTATTTTGTGCAACTTAAAGAAGAAAAGTGGTGAAACTATTCGAATTCTGCATATTTAGGGCTTGTATTCTTGATGAAAATGATCGAACTGGATTAGAACTAGCGGCAAATAACGTTACGGATTTACAGTTTATATCCCTCCCTGAAAAATTAATTGTTATTCTTTGCAGGCTCATTTTATTGAGAGTCATGTTTGTCGTACATTGGAACAAGCGCAGAAAGCACAAAGTGTGATGAATGTGATACACCTTTCAATCGTGAAAACAACATGAAGAACGGCAACTTTTTCCTTCATATTCCACTAATAGAACAACTTAAGCAGCTCCTGTCTGATCCCATTCTTTATGAATATCTACCCAACTGGAATTTGGATATAACTGAATGAACTGTTATATCAGACGTAACTAATGGTAAACTATATAAGAGCCTGATAAGGAATAAAGCTATGGCAAAAAATGACCTTTCTTTAACTTGGAATGCAGATGGCATACCTGTTTTTAAGTCATCACAATACTCTATTTGGCCTATCCAAGGTATGATAAACGAGTTACCTCCTCACCTTCGTTCCAAGAATATTCTACTTACAGGTTTGTGGTTTGGTGCGACGAAACCACAGATAAACCTTTTTCTTGAAGCATTTGTGAACGAATGCCATGATTTGGAAAAAAAAGGAACTCTTTTACGTGAAGAAATTATACCTCGCAAAGTTTTCGCATTAGTATGTTCCAGCGACAGCCTAGCTCGTGCAATGTTGAGAAACTGCAAGCAGTTTAATGGTAAGTACGGGTGCGATTGGTGTGAACATGAAGGTGTGTCTGTTCTCCGTAATAGAGGTCCCCAACTCGATACTATCCACAGCGTGATCATCAAAGCTCAAGAACATCACAGAATCAGGAAGAATATGCTTTCGAAGCTGAAATAAGAAAAGAAGCAGTTAATGGGGTAAAAGGGCTTTCGCGTATCGACATTCTTCCCACATTTGATACAGTAATAGGCTTTACACCGGGGTATATGCATTCTGTGTGCCAAGGAGTAGTCCGTCAACTGTGCAATCTTTGGCTTGATTCGAGAAACCACGAAAAGAACTTTTATTTGGAAAGAAACGTCGATCTATTAGATGAACGTTTGTCTGTAATATGCCTGCCTTCTGAAATAACTAGAGCCCCTAGATCAATAAAAGAGCGAAAATTTTGGAAAGCGTCGGAGTGGCGAGCATTTCTTTTTTATGGCCTTGTGGTTCTAAATTGCTTGCTTCCTCGTGAATAGTTAGAGCATTTGTTTTGCTAGTAAATGGTGTACATACATTACTTGGTAATAGAATTAGTGATGAAATGCTATCACGAGCCAACGCATGCTTGTTAAATTTGCAACTGATATGGAAAAGTTGTACGGTTTGACTAACTGTACATTCAATGTACACGTTATGACGCATTTAGCGGAAGGCGTAAGGAAATGCGGGCCACTTTGGGATACTTCTGCCTTTGCATTCGAAGCCAACAACCACTTTTTGCTGAAAATGTTTAATGGTACCCAATATGTTCCACAACAGATTTGCGATACTTTTATACTGTCGCAGAAACTACCAGGTATTGGGAAAGAGTGTATTCGTGATGAAGCATGTCCAAGAGTAAGGCACTTAATTAATAAACTTTCCAAAGACAAAATTCCTGCAAATAATGAACGGGCTCTTACTAGAGCTGTTACTGGACTTGGAAATGGACAAGCTGTTCGTCTCACATCATCTAAGCAAAAGTGATTAACAGAGGAAAAATGATTAACAGAGACGTTGCCAATTGACCAGCTACTCTTTATAACAGATTTAGTGTAAATCATGTGCTATACACTTCGAAAAGTTATACAAGACACCGTGATTATTATGTGAAAATCGACAGCTCAACTACCAAGTATGGTATCGTTGTTGGGCTTTACCATGTACAGCCAGACTATCAATGCAGCACTGCTGAATTACAGGCATGCCAGTACGAAGTATATTATGTTGTGATTGTGGAAAAACTTGATTTGTGTGAAAGAAGACCACTGTTTTCCAACAAATAATGTGGTGTTACTTCACATTTCGTAAGAGAGTGTACAAACAGAGACCAAATTGTGGCTCTCAAACCTGACAAAGTTAAAGACAAAGGCGTACACTTAAAACTACGAAACCGAGACTTTTTTTTGAATTGCCATGTAAGATTTACGGCGATTAACTCAAACTAGAAAGGATTGCTCTTGTCTTTCATTTTTTGCAAGTTTGAGAATACTCGACTAAACAGATATTTTAGATACACAGTATTTGTTGCATGTTGTATATATGACGCGTAACTCAAAACAGATAACTTCTTGTATATCGTACAAAGCTTTGCTTATAATGCATGCCACTATATATGTTTTAAATTGTTTATAATCATTAATTTGTACTATAGCTCTTTTGGAATGTGTTGTTTTATTCATATCATACAGAAAAATATGTAAATTGCATTTCACTGTCGTAACAGTCAACAAGACATTCCCAAAACGATTTTTTTATTACAAATAAAAAAATCCAACTTCATCTCACAATAATTTTTTTTAGCTAATTTGAGGATGATTTGAGTTTTTTACATTTTCCCATAGCTTTTGTATAAGAATTTGAAAATATATTTTTCTATAAGTTTACAAATTCCGTGAATTTTCTAAAGCACTTCTTATAAGAATTTTTTCTATGAGATTTCACATTGTAATAGGAATCCCTGAAGGAATCGTATACCAACTATAACAAAACAAACAACTTAATTGAATGTTGGCGAAATTGAAAATAAATTCCTCTTTAATTGCATGCTGTTGGTGTTCGTAATGGTTCTAAAAACTCTTTATCTAATGACTAAATTTCGACATGTTTTGTTGCTCTGCTTTGAGGAGTTTAATCAATGTCAGCTCGTAAAGCTGTTGTTTAAATTCTGTAAAGAGTTCAAACATCAGCAGCCTTTTATTCAAGAGATGACATTGTCTTTGTCTTTTACACAACCAAAAACTCCATACCACAATGCTTTATTTATTTCATGCATTAGATATCTAAAGAATCTATCATAGTTGTAAATTTGGGGAAAAAATAGATAACATTTCCTATATATTTCGATTGCTATATATGTTTTTCCAATAACATTTCCATGAGATTTCCTATAGGAATTTTAATATTGATAAAGATTTAATGGCTTTATACTGAGATATTTACCCCTTTCAACACCAATAAATTCTTATCATTAATATATTTTACAGAATTTTGTAAAATTCGACATTTTTAAAGTTCAATAAAATTTTTACTATTTTTGTCATGTATCATGCAAAGAGAAAATCACTTGTAGGAAATATAACTAAAAATAAAAATCACTTGTAGGAATATGAATTCTCACATAATAATGTGTTACTAAGATATTTAGCACCTTAAACACCTGTACTGTTACTATCGATACTCATTTCAGTAAACTTACAATTCTCACTTTTTAAAGCTTCACTAAGATATTTAGCACCTTCATCACCCATATTGTTAATGAAGATATTTCTTTCAGTAAGCTTACATCTCTTATTTTTCCAAGCGTTATTAAGATACATCACACCTGTAGCTGCTATTTTGTTATTATCAATGTCCTATTTGATAAGTTTACAATTCTAACTTCTAAAACCTTTCTAAGATATTTAGTACTTTATCACCTATATTGTTATAACGCACATAAAGTGAATTAAGCTTACAATTCTCACTTTTCAAAGCTTCACTAAGATATTTTGCACCTTCATCACCTATTTGGTTGTGTTCAAGATTTAACCTAGTAAGTTGACAATTATCACTTTTCAATGCTTCACTAAGAAATTTTGCACCTTTATCATCTATTTGGTTGTCTTTAAGACTTAAGCTAGTAAGTTGACAATTATAACTTTTCAAAGCTTCACTAAGATATTTTGCACCTTCATCACCTATTTGGTTGTGTTCAAGATTTAAGCTAGTAAGTTGACAATTATAACTTTTCAAAGCTTCACTAAGATATTTTGCCCCTTCATCATCTATGTGGTTGTTGTCAAGATTTAAGCTAGTAAGTTGACAATTATAACTTTTCAAAGCTTCACTAAGATATTTTGCACCTTCATCATCTATGTGGTTGTTGTCAAGATTTAATATAGTAAGTTTACAATTCTCATTTTTCAAAGCTTCACTAAGGTACTTTCCACCTTTAATACCTATCTGGTTACAATTAAGATACAATTCAGTAAGTTTACAATTCTTTCTTTTTAACGCTTTACTAAGATATTTTGCACCTTCGCCACCTATCATGTTTGCTCGAAGATCAAATTTTGTAAGTTTACAACTCTCACTTTTCAATGCTTCACTAACAGATTTTGCACCTTCACCACATATATGGTTTTCTTTAAGAGACAAGTCAGTAAGTTTACAATTCTCACTTTTCAAAGCTTCACTAAGGGATTTCGCACCTTCACCTTCTATTTTGTTACAACTAAGACACAATTCAGTAAGTTTACAATTCTTACTTTTCAAAGCTTCACTAAAATATTCTGCACCTTCATCATCTATACTGCTATCTAAAAATTCCAACCTAGCTAGTTTACAATTCTCACTCTTCAAAGCTTCGCTGAGATGCTTACAAAAAAGATTGCCGAAAGTACAAAAGTCAAACTCTAAGTTAATCAAAATTTCCGCTCTCTCACTTGACAAGTAGTTTTTTAAAGGAATACAGCTGTGTTTATCAAGAAACTTGCAACCATTAAAAAAAAGACCTGTTATGTGTTCACATTCAGAAAGAAATTCAAACAATGCGTTTGAATCAACAGGCGTAAAATAAACTCCATCAATACTCGTTTGTTGAGAAAAATCCTCTAACTTCCTGCAAGCTGAGCTCATTACATCTTTGTCTTGCAACTCGTATAAACACTTAATTCCAAGAAAACCAAGGACTTTATCGCCGTCTTTGATGAATAAATTTGAAATCCAGTTTTTAAACCTGCAACATTAAAATACACAACTTATTTGTAAGGGTATATGTATTGTTGCACGACAGGAATTTGATTGGCTTCTACATTAATTCAAGACCCAGTTAAAATGTTGACGAATGTTTCATCCGTTGAGTGAATTAAAGTCAATAGAGATGATAAGATAAATTCTCAATTCTCTTTTGTTTTAAATGCGTTTGGCTTTTTTAAAATTCAACGTTTGAAACGGGCCTACATTGGAGACGTATATCATTTGTAAGTTTGACCAAGAACTATTCTGGGTCCATCTAACAAGAATCCTTTGGTAATCAAACTAAGGATTAAAGTAGCCAGCAAATTTTCAACAAAACAAATTTTGTTCAACATGGGACATATTATACATGCCTCTTCTTTTAAAATTAAACTTTCAGTCTCTTTGTTTAAAATCATCGACACCGATTACTAAAATTTTTCTCTTGAAATAGAAGAAGCTCTTTGCATCAATAAAACTAATCTTTACTTAAATGTTCAAATTTACCACTATAGTTATAACGCTCTCTTATTATTTTTATAGTTAATAACTTAGTAATTGTAATTAGATAAAGTTCCCATTGCGACTTGTTAATATACGTCTAACTTGGGTACTCTTTGGTTTACAGACGAGAATCAGTAATTAAAATTTTGACAATAATTCTAGCATATGCTCAGTTATCCTCAGTATGTGTTATTTGCTGTTTCCATGACAATATGATGAATTGTTGCATGTAGTATGAAACAAATTTTTTCGTACAAACTGCTTTGAAAATGTATTTTGTAATTACGATAGCAAGACTTCCAATTGTCCGGCAGTAAGTAAATTAAAAAACACCAAATTATCAAGTGCACTTTTTTGTTCTTACGTGTTATGATTGTATTTTATTGCATATTTATTGTGAAAATAATGAGAATGTTCAACAAAATTTAGCATTTTTTCCTTAGTTAGCTTCCCAGGGAATAATGCTGAAAACATTTGTTCTGTTGCTTCATTGGTCTGGTCCATACCGAGTTATGTGACATTAGCTTTAGGAAGAAGCGCTCATTCCTTAAGATCAGTTCTGCAGGAACCGTTACACGGTTAGTTTTCAAAAACAAACCATTGAACTCAAATTACATTAACAGGAAGGAAAAATCGATGATGGATCAAGAGGAGAATCAATTGAAAAGGAACTTGCCACAGCAGAGGAAGAAGAATAGCAATTAGTTGACATTGATGGAAGTCAAGTTGAAAATACGAAAGTTGATAACATAGAAAACAATTTCATGGCCACAATTGCAAAAACGATAGAAAACAAAATTAGTTTGTCCATTACACGCCTCTCACGCTGCCCAAGAGAAACCAGCGTTAGAAACAGAATAGCGTTGTATAACTAGCAATTTAAAAAAATGTAATTCCCTTTATGAAGCAGAAAAGGAACCTTTAATTTAGAAATGTTAAAGGAGTTAAGTTCAAAAATAATGGCGACGCGCCAAATTCCTGTCCAATGAAAGTAAGAGTCAAAACTTTACAACATTTTGATATTAAACCAATATGTCAATGTACTCCCTTGTTTTCTTTTGCTGCGTTTATGAACTGTTGATAATGGTTTTAGTTGTTAAAAAATTTGATCGAAAATTTGTTAAAATATACTCAACACAACATTATAAGTATCACTGGCTAATGTAAAACATTAAAATGTTTGATTTCTCTGTTTCTGTTGATTAACCAAACAAGAGCTAAATTTTTACGGAGGCTTAAGAGAAAAACAGTTAAATTTCCATAAAATTCCATTCACATGTGAGATGCAGTGCACTATGAAGCAGTGCACATAAATGTACAACTATCTAATGCAGCTAAGCCCAATTTTCATAAATTTTTTGAAGTCCATAAACCTAAAGTAGTTGATAATATCCCAAACAGCCATTCCACTGACACACAAACTCTACTCATATAGATAAATAAAAGTCTCTCTTGGGCTGTGTGAGTACACCATTTCTCAGAGTAGTCTAAAGATGAACATGCAATGTATATGCTGGCTAGGTGTGAAACAGCCTTCCTCTAGATCTTGTAATAAACCAGATAATCGTAACATACATGCATCTTTTTTTATCAACAAAAAATGTAAGTTAAAATATAAATGTCACTACTATTTAAAAGATGGAAAGATTTAATGATGCGACTAATGAACTGGACCATAAAAAAGCTCAAATACTTCATTTGTTGAACAACAAACTGAAATTTTAAAGAAAGTAATGTTTGCATGTACATAATAAACTGTTTGTTGATGTTCTCAAGATCGGCTGAGAACGTATTTCATGTTATTAATATGAAATTTTTCATACAGTTTGAAAGGAAATTCGAGACTTTTACAAAAATTTGCGTAGACTAGTACAAACTCTTCTTCAGCAAATACATCAAAGAACTACGAGTCTATCAAATACTGCCTTGGCTTTTTATATGTAGTCATGGTAAAGTAAATGGTTTGAACCAGGGAGTATCGGTACATGTTTGTAAATGTAGATCATCCAGGTTGGTATAGTCCTGAGAAGGACTGTTTTTGTTGTTGTTGACTGACGTTTCGATAACCTTAGCGGTAGTAATCTTCAGAGTCAAATGAAGAGTGAACTAGAGGTTAGCCGTATTTGTTATCTGGTTCTTACGTCATTGTATTGTGTATACAGGAAATGTGTAGGTGTCAATTGTGTGTTGTCATTGTGAATTAGACCCCGTCCACACGTATACGGATATTTTCGTATCCGCAACTTTTTTGTTGCGGATCAGGTAGCACAAAAAAATGTTGTTGCGTCCACACGTATACGGATATTATCCGGATTTACTCTAGTTCCCATGACTTTTAGCGCTATCAGTTACCCGCACATATTTTATAACTTCGCGATAAATTGGTTAGCAATTGTGAATTCGGTCAGTGTTAAAGGTTTTTCGGCTTTGTCTGATTAAACATGTCATTATTTGGTCAGAAATCGAAGAAAAATGAGAAAAATAAGACGGACTCCTTTATTTGGAATGATGATGAGGTCGAACTCTTACTAAAAGTAACATTAGAATATAAAACATCCAACGCTATGGAGAATGTCGATTGGGAATCAATCAGAAGCAAGTATGATGACATTTTTAAACGTTTCATTGAGCAGTATCCTTCGTCGGAAAATGCCCTGATGTAGGGAAAGATTACCCCCAAACAAAGAACTTTCCAAATCAGTGTTGACATCCAAATTAAAAATGGTTCGAAAAAAGTTCAGGGAAGCTGTTGATTCAGGTAGGAAAAGTGGACATGGCCGCGTAGTATTGCTATACTTTGAACTATGCAAGCAAATATGGGGTGGTTCTCCTGCCACGAGTACGATAGCAGATGGAATCGAGACCGCTGAAATCGACGACGAACACAGCTTGAACCCAGAAAGTCCATATTATATGCTTAATGTAACTATCAGCCCTGAATTAGAAAATGAAAATAGCCCTGGTGATGCAACTAGTGATGCTAACATATCAACAGACAATGTCTCAACCTCCAGTAGCTCATCTTCCAGGGGTCAAGTCAAAGAGAGAAGGGATCTCCTTAATGCAAGATTACAAGGATACAAGAGTGAGAAACTCAAAAGAAAAATGCCTGTTGATGCACAACTCATTAACATATCACATGAAGAACTTCAAATAAAGAAACAACTCCTAGAGAGAATGGATAACATGGACAAGGCTTACTCCAACCAAATGGAAAAGCTCTCTAGTAACATGGAAAAACTCACTGATTCAGTATCTGAAGGATTTGTTTTATTGAGGCAAACGATGTGTCCTGCACCAGGTGTGATTCAGCCACAGTACATTGCTCCCCAGGCAAACTACAGCATGTTCAACTACAGCAAAACACAACATGCTTCTCAGCTAAATAGCGGACAATTTTTGAACTCTCAGTCCTTGTACTCAGACAATGAGAGTAGTTTTTAAGCTGTAGTAAGGAGATATGTTACATATTAGATATTATTAATTTCTTGAGATTTATGACATTGAAAATATTGTTGGTTTTGTTCAAAGTTTATAATACATCTTATTAAAGATGATGCATACTGTAAATGATATATAAGGTTATAAAATATTATTGGTATATTTAATTATTGCGGGTATATTGAATTGTTACTAGTATTTTGCATGCACTCTGATAATATAATTAACTGTACATTTATGGAGCAAATTCAACCAGAAGTTTATGGTAAGTTTCTCACTCTAAGTGTTGATGAAACAATTCAAACAGAAAAATTACAGTAAAAGTTGACAAAACAACGAAAGTTATTAGCTACATAAAGGCCTGCAACATGATGCTATTTTGATGCAACTTGAAACATTAATTTGCTTTTAATTGAGTAATGTAAAATCAGCTAAAAGCAGTTTTTGCATTGTGCTAATGAATTTATACTAATGCATATTCATCAACTTAACTCTTTCTCTTATTAACATGTAGAATTTTGCTTCAAGTTACAAGAGATAGCACATCATGTAATCTGGCTGAGTGAATACTGTATAATTTTAAGGGTCAAAATAATTTGTGAGAACTCTCCTATTTTCTTCCCTTCAGCTTCATTACAATCTGTTCTATAGTTGTTGTGACTAGGTGCTGGCTGAAAGTGGCTATCATAATCAATAGCTGAACAAACTTTGTCTTCTCCAATAATCTCTTTGTGAACTTCACAAAGTTGTGAAGGAAAAACATGCATAGACAACAGTAGAGATATCTTTAATGTTTATGTCCATTGCCCTCTTCAAAGCCCCAAACCTTGCTTTTAGACGACCAAATGCGCATTCAATCACCATTCTTGATTGGCAAAGGGTCATACCAAAATATTGCTCCTGAACTGTTGAACCTCCATTTGAGTATTCCTTCATGAGGTATGGCATAGGGATAGGCTGGATCTCCTAACAGGAATACTGGAATGGGATTCTCATCTGAAAGTATTTGTCGTGGGCATGGAGGTATTTCCTACTCTTAAGAAAATAATTTAACTTTGAGTTGGAAAATACTCGGGCATCGTGAACACTCCCGGCCACTTGACGACGACGTCCATAAAGCAATACTTATAGTCACATGCAGCTTGAACATTTAATGTATACCGTCCTTTTCTATTTATGAAATCTGTGGAATTACATGCTGGTTGCCTAATTTCGATATGCGTACCGTCAATTGCGCCCAAACATTGAGGAAAGCCGTGCAATCTGTGGAAGTTCCTGATATGCCTCTCAACATCTTCTTTTGTGAATGGCAGTTTAATATATTCAGGTCCAAGTCGAATCGTGATAGCTTTACACACTTTACGAATTATTTGGATACAACTTGACGCGATAATCCAAAGGCATTCGCTGTTTTCGCATACGTCCCTCGTCACTTAAGTAATAGAGTGTGACCGCTACCTGCTTAACCACATCTACTGGGGACCGCATTATTGTTGTCTTGCCTTCTATGTATGGTCTAAGTTCGTCAGCTAATTCGTGGAGAGAACGTCGACTCATGCGAAAATTTTCACGCCATTCTTCTTCTATCACAGTTTGCCTGACAAAATTGTCCCACCAAGCGCTTGTACGTCCTAATCGGACCCAAAATCTTCGACGACGAAATTGTTTTCCTGCTCGTTTTACTTGTTTATAGCGTCTGATCCGTGCATCAGACATGGAAATAAGCCTGAGGATATCAAGCTTGCGTTTGCAATAGTTGAAGTGTACAGAAAAAATTGCTAAGGTCAACTGAACACACGTTACAAGACTGGAAATAAGTCCAAGTAAAAGAGCAATGGTAACTGTATTAGTGGCCACCATGTTGAAAATTTGCGCTATAACAGTTGCTAGGCAATTCTGGTTACAAAAATATCCGGATTTACCGTCCACACGCATCCAAATTGTTTGCGGATACAAAAATTTTCACTCTAGAGAGCGGATTCAAAAGTTTCCGGATAACTCTCTGAAATATTCGGATGCGTGTGGACGAAAGGCCTATCCGCAACTTTTTTGTTGCGGATACGAAAATATCCGTAGACGTGTGGACGGGGTCTTAGTGTGAAGTAGAATGTTTTTAGTTGATCGTTTGTTTGTATTGTGAATAAGTCGTTTGTAAGGTGCCGGTAATTGCTGTGATCAGTTCAGGGGGGTTTGTCCCTAGTTGGTATACCAACTTTCTAATGTTATTCGTTGTCTATAGTCAGTATCACTTATCACTTAATAGCATAGGTTTCTCAAGCATAAGAAGTAAATATTTAAAGATGGATTTCAAAATAGCAAATACCATGGTGAATGGTGATAATAACAATGTAATAGTTCTTAAAAGAACAGTTTTAACCAAAAAACTAACCCAACAATTCAAAGGAACCGTTATTTACAGCTAGAAAGAGACACTATTTATTTCGGCAGACTACTCGTCATGTATCAAAGTCTGCTAAATGAGAGCCTCCAAACCATGCTTTATTTATAACGTTACAAAAGGTCGATGTCATCCATATTTTTAGAGATGACACTTAAAAAAGAGACAGATGAAACACTAGATGAAATAACGAGCGACATTTTTTAATAATTTTAAAGTTTTCATCAGAATAAGCATTGGCACAGCGAGTGTTGCTTAAAAGATGTTTTCTAATCGCTGAATCCATAGAATCGGATTTTCTCTTTTACACCCACGTTTTGGTAGTTGTCGTAAAGGAACAGTTTTATTCCTGACAGAAGCTGGTACATACTGTTTTATTCTTTCACTCAACCGCTTCTATTCGCTTCTGTCAGGAATAAAACTGTTCCTTCACGACAACTACCAAAACGTGGGTGTAAAAGAGAAAATCCGATTCTATGGATTCAGCGATTAGAAAACATCTTTTAAGCAACACTCGCTGTGCCAATGCTTATCCTGATGAAAACTTTAAAATTATTAAAAAATGTCGCTCGTTATTCCATCTACGCGTCATGGAGTCGGTATTAATTAAATTGACTAATCCTGTCCTTTGCCGACAAAATATTACGTGTTTAATCTGTCTCTGTTTTAAGTCTCATCACTAAAAACAGGAATGACATTGACCTTTTGTAACATTATAAATATAGTATGATTTGGAAGCTCTCATTTAGCATACGTTGACACCTGACAAGCAGTCTGCCGAACGGTTAGTGTTCTGGTTAAAACAGTTCTTTTAAGAACTATTACATTGTTATTATCACCTTTCACCATGGTATTTGCTATTTTGAAATCCATCTTTAAGTTTGTCACCACGACAAAGTCTCTGTTTCATTATTTAAGTAAATATTTCTCTTCCATCACTTGTTAAAAAAGTCTAGGCCTGAACATTTCAATACAAATATCATCTAGCTGCAGCGCGTAGTGAATTTAAACTCCTTTCTGTGTGCACTGAACAAGAAAAACTATTAGACGTAATTCAAAACAGTGATTAATGGATGTTGTAAGAACGAACACGATCTCGAGATGGCCTAAAGCAGTTTTAAAGCTGGCCGGAATAAATTAAATTTCTTGCTAGAGCATAAAAGAAGCATCCTCGCCAGATGCAAGTTAAGCACCTGTATCAAATGATGCAATTTTTGAAGCAACTGGGTGGACAAATGCTTTAACTTTTCAAATATACTAGAATAAGCCAATTTTATCAAAAGCTGAATTTAGCTTCCCATTATTAAATGCTTCAAAAGGCTAACCATAAACTTTCGCTTTAGTAATGTTACATGTAACACTTGTCAGAATACTTGGGATTATGTATAGCTCGTTTGAATATCTCAAATGACTCCGTAGTGATGTGTCCAATTACGAAATAGAATTTAAAAGTTAAATGAGATTCACCAGAAAGTTGAAATTTGATGGTAATTTTTTTGAGTTGCATGGACAACGATACAAAGGGGTCCTCGCTCTCCATCAACACATTACAGAGAAAAACGTCATTACTTTGGTGTAAAAATCTAATTGCTCTAGTTGTGAGAATGCTTATCACTTAGACCATGTCCACACTAATGCGTTTTCAAAGCACTCCGTTTTCATCGAAATAAAAACGCATCGTTTTCATTGCATTCACAGCAGCGTTTTCATAGCGTTTTCGGCTGTCCACACTAAAACACTTGAAAACGACGAATATGTGGTATATTAAACTGCGCATGCTTATACATAAAACGCCAACGGCTATTGTGATATCAAGTGACATTTTTCGCCATTTCAGGAAGTGATTGACGTAATCGTTTTTAAAAGACTCCGTTTTTGATCGTACACATTAAAACGAAACGCATGCGTTTTCAAATTGCTCTGCTTTGAAGAAGGTTTTCGAATCGATGCGTTTTCATTTGGCAGTTTATCCGTTTTTGAGTGTTTCAGTGTGGACGGAAGGCAAAAAACGCATCAAAAAGTATGCGTTTTCGAAGGAAAACGTAGCTATTAGTGTGGACAGGGTCTTGGAGCGTTGCAAGCTGACTCCTCTTTTTGCATGAGTATAGCTTCAACATGACTCCTCAGTTTTCTTGTCCAATTCAAGTTTCTTCTTTATTTTTAAATTATTAAGAAGAAAGCTGATTGTGTACTAATACATCAGTAAGAAACGAGAATTTGCATTGACGAAATCAGTGGATGTATTTCGGCTATAACTCATCTAAAACAACTTCATGTCTCAAATATGGCTAAAACAATCCTTTACTAGTGACTTTGCACAGCATACATGTTGTCTGCATCTTTTGGTTTAGTATGATAAGATCTTTCATATGGTTTTAAGCCATTAACTTCAATAATTGAATGCTTAATCAACTTAATTATTCTATGTTTACAAATTGCAATTTTTTCATGAAAATCAACTTAAAAACCTTAAATTTATAATTGCTCTTTTAAGTTATAGCTTACATTTGTTTTGCTTGTTGCTTCTGTTCGTTTTGAAACTATTTCGAAAATAGTCCTACACTTTTGGTGCGTAGTGTTTGGAGAATCCACTAGATTTGTTTTCTTATTAGCGGATTTTTTCACTTAATGTTTAACTATAAGGTTTATTTTATGGGCTTGATATTTTAGTATCTTAGTGTGTATTATGCTGAAGTCTTTTATTTGCTGTTTAAATAACTTCCCAGTGCATCCAAATACTGAATGAAGGTAGAGAAAAAGTGATCAGTGATCTACAGTAATCTACATCCACAAACATGTAAAAACCATGTTTTGAAATATACAACTAACCATCACGAAATTATTTCCTCCAAACTCAACGCCACGTTTTAGTTTAAACTTATTGAGGAGGCGTTACTTTAATATTTGCTTATCTGGCTGACAAAGTTAATGTTAAGATTATGGTGATGATGAATTAATTTAGAAAAAAATACATATAGTCACATACAATATGAAGATATAATAAAACATTTTCAATGATACAAATATTCAATGATCATAAATTTAATACCTCTTTAGAATAAAGCTGATATCTTTTCCCGTCTTTTTCTTTATATTTCCAACAAAACCAGCAGCAAATTCGATTACCAAATGCCATTTAGGATCTTTAGCCTGATCATCCAAAAACTTTTCAATGTTTTGCCAATCGTCAACAATATACAAAGCTGCAAGAAACTCTTGAAGAGTCAAATGAAGAAAACAGTAAAGATTTTTTTTTTTGTCACAAATCTTATTGAAAATGCCACAGTTTTCAAGATTTTCAAAGTTACTGTTACTGTCTCTTTCAAAATTAGGCGTCCGTCTTTAAGCCCTTCCATGGCAACATGTTTTATTTCTTGTAGATCATTATCAAGCTTGGATGGTAAAGGAATTGTTAAGTAATCCTTTGGTGTAGTCTTGCCCCTGAGAAGTGGATGGCTTTGCCATAGTAAAACTTTAATTGCTCTATTGTACAATTCAGTGATAGTCTTTGGACTATAGTTTTCATCATCTGCAAAACATTCCTTTAAGGTCATACAAACAATTTTAGTGTTAATAGGGATATAACAAAAGCTGCGAAGTTCAAGAGAATTTTTAATCTTATTTAGAATACGGTCAGCGATATTCTTATCTTCACGACAAAACTTTTTCACGAATTCTTCTATCTCATCCTCAAAAAAGCCCAAGATTTCAACTGTTCTCGTGAATATCATATTTCTAAATTTACGTTCAGCTGTGGGTCGTGATGTAATAAGAACAGTAACATGAGGCAATAGTTCACCATTAACAAGCATCTCTAAGTGTCTAATGACGGCCCTTTTTTTATTAGGGGACCCTGAGTTGTCAGTTTGAAGAACTCCATTATCTAAAGGCAATTCATCAAGACCGTCCACGACAAGAACAGTTCTTTCAGGATTTAACATTATAAATTCGTAAATACCTGAAAACTGTTCAAATGAAAGTCCAACGCAATTTCTTATCATTTCTTCAAAAGTAATGTTTTTCTTTTCAATAGAACGACATTGAAATAAAATGACCAGCTTATCGCGCAAATAGTCGTCTTCATTTGTCTTCCATTCATGAATAAGTTTTTTTGTGAACATTGTTTTACCAATTCCTGGCCTTCCGATGACTAAAATGGAGCTAGGACACCACTTGCTATTTGGAATTGACTTAAAAATGTCCGTTGCTCTTGTTAGTTTTTTCGCATTTTCTGTAAGTTTGAAATGACAATGAAGGATCTCGTGCCTTTCATGCGTTTCTGGGTAAGCCTTACTTAATTGTCTTTCTGCTTGCATTATGACGTTGACATAAATATCTTCCAGATTTTGCTGAGACATTTGTGCATTGCGTACGTTATCGTGGATATTAAATAATTTGTTCAAGTGAAGTTTATTTTTTATTTCTTTTATCCATTTTCGAAATTCTGCACGCTTTTGGAATAAGTATACCGTGAAAAACTCCTTATCTGATGTGAAAAAAGTGTCATTACTGGCCTCATTTAATAGGTATATTAGCTGACATATCGTCATTATTATCGATAAAACATCAACAGCTACAACAAGTACAATCCACCACTCACTGTTACCATCGCAAATTTCACAATTAACAAATGTCTCGTTATATGGAGGAAGAATTATACTGTTGAACGAAGATTTTTCGTTTGTTGTTGGACGCCAAGAACAAGTATAATCAATGGGAAACATGCCTGGAAAGAGTACTGTAACAAATATCAACAAACCGATCAAACGTCCAATCAAATAAATGATGTAACAATTAAATGCCCAAGAACTAGATGCAACCTTTCTGACTTCACTGCTTCTTTCTGACAAGAACTTATCAAAGTTTTCAAGTCGATGGCTTACAGACATTCCATAGATCATACTCCAAAGTAAGGGAAAAATGAAATTGAAGGACACCACATAAATATTATCCCAAGTCTCATTTTGGTATTGTCTCAAACAACTTGATTCAATGTTCTTTATAAGTGAAGTTTCTTGGAAGTTTGAAATCATCTTGTCATAACAAGTGAAAGAAGTTTGACGATCAAATGTTTTTGAAATTCCAGTAGCGATGATTGTAAATATGAAATAGATATAGAGCAGTATTTGTTCAAACCAAGGAAAACAATTCAGTGGTATGGCTTTGAAAATAGCATCCATTTTCGTATCCTTTAAAAAATGCATTAAATAGATAAGATTAATTTAGTTTAAACAATCCCCGTATAGACATGGACCGCACTTGTAGAGCATAAACTGCAGTATAAAATAATACACACCATTATGTGTGGCTTCAGTTAGCTCCACACAGTTTGGCTTCCAGATAGTATTTATAAAAAATTTCAGCCTATGTTGTAGCAAAAACACATAATTTGGCTGCAATATTTAGTTGTTATGAAAAAACTCAGTACATGCAATAACAACAATAGTAATAATTTTATAATAATAATAATTTTAAATTTTAGCATGTCAATCTTGTAAGTTTGAAACGTACAGCTGTTTTCATTAGGACACCTGCATTCAAATTATTTTAGTAATATAAAAAAATATTAGAATGCATGCAATAGTGTTCCATAATATAGAACATATAAGATGTCGAAAAGGTTGAAAGATGAAAAATTACAAATTATTTTAGATTATAATATGTATCATACTTAAAATATGGTTTACGCTCGTCCTTGAATCTTAGTAAAGGTATTTTTCTTCTATAGCTGTAAGGAAGTTAATTACTTTAGCAGTTTCGCAATATAAATGTTCCTGAAAATATTAGGATTATATTGAAGAAATTTCAAAATCGGTTCGATAAGGGTAACTAATGGGGGTTTTTTCATAGCACGACAAAAGTTCTGAAAAGAATTGCTTTGCAATAAAAGCACTAACCCAGAAGTCCTGAAAAAGAACTGTATTAGAAATTTTAGACACTATGCATTTCGAAAGACAACTCATCAGGAGTCAACGTGTGCTATTTGTTAAGGGTGGCTCAATATGTTTATATATGATTAGTTTTGATGATGACTCATCCAGTTATCATTCTGGCGGCGATACTGATTATGTATATTATTCGGTAAACTTGTTGTTGCTGCCTTCTAAAGACATTGGATCCCTGATGTGTTATTTTTGTGAAGCTACTAAAGGTTAGGGGCTTAGGAAGCCGTGGGTGTCCGGATGTCTGAACACCCACAACTTTTAGAGTGTGAGTATTCTATATAGGAAGGACACCCACAAATTTAGCTTCTTGCATGAAAATATATGACATTTTGCACGCTGAGTTTTTGCAAGCACATTGAATTTTCTAAATAATTAACGGACACCAGCAAGCTGGAAATTTCAAATTGTTCGAGCATTGCCGATATATGCAAATCATTTTTATGTAATGCTTTTTTGACAATTTTTCTAATATAGGCCGAAAAAGGAAGAAGAAACTATCAAAAATAACTAATATGAAACATTTACATTACTATTCTAAGTTTCTCGCACTATCAAATTGCGAACATGGAACACCCACAACTTTTGAAATCTTCCAAAGCCTCTGCTAAAGGTACCCAAACAATGTTCAAAAACTTATACAACATCGATTTCATTGCAATTTTCCTGTAGGGATATACTCAGGAATTACGACATTCACATGAAAAAAGATAAGCTTACAATAAATCGTATTGACTAAGAGTCATCAAAAATTTTTCCATATTTCAAATTTCTAGTCATCTGTTTCTAAATTAGCTATTTTAGAATATTGTAAAAAATAATTGAGCAGGAATAATAATTCAAGCAAACAATTAAAGAAAAACGAAGAAAAATGTGGCGTCAGTTATAAGAAATCTGTAGTTTGCAAAAAAAAAGGGATCAGAATATGGAAAATACAGAAGGATCAATCGTGTCGGACCCTTTGATGTTTTTGTCCTCGCACATGTTGTGCCGCGCATATCGACAGCCATTATTCCAGTAAGATATTTAGGGCTTTTTACTTGTTCCCAACCACTGAAATGACTCGGCGCCATTTCTTGTTTTGAAATATTTTCGATTTCATTGTGACGTCTAATGACGTCATGTAATAACAGTGGTTGAAAACAAGTGAAAACCCTGAGTACCTTGCCAGAATGATGGCGGCCTTAAGAACACAGTGCTCACTTGAGTGGCCCTTCTGTATAATTTTTATTCTGTAAAAACGTGTTTTACTGATGACGTCACATGTTATTAACATGGCCACTTGAACAGTTCACACATTAGGTCCGTATTCAGCAATAAAATTAACTAACTTCTAGCAAACTGAGAATATTTATTCAAATATCAAATTAAATCTAGCACTGCGGATTTTTAGTTAAAAAGAAAAAAAGAGGCGATCAAGCACTTTAAACAAGGCAGATGGTAAATCCGTTTGTACTCCTCATGATGACCTCGTGTACCTGTGGATTTACCAGAAAAACCTCATGATGATGCACACCATGTTCCTGAGAGTAAAAAGCTCAAAACTCAATTGTCTGAATGTTTATATGAGTCCATGACTTCATCGTTTGTTCAATAGACCACAATGAAAGTGCTGCCTTTTAACCAATTAACATAAAAAGCAATAATGATTGACTATGGCTGCATAAAAACATTTATGGTCGTTTTGCATACCACCGACTAATAAGAAAGGTAAAATAACCAGTTTTTTAGAATGTTTTTGAAAGAAAATGTGTTCCAACATTTAAACATGTTTTGTTTAATGATAAAATTTCTCTATTCAGCCTTACATTTTGCAGTCCATTAAACTGCTAAACCAAATTCATTGATTTTGCCTGATGCATGTTTATATGTATAGTATGAATTTTTCATTTAGGTTACATTTGTTTTGGATTCCCAGTTATTTCTATGTTGATTGTAAATAATCATCGCTATGTCTGGTGTAGGAATTTTTTATTTTCAGAATTTTTTATAAACTTGCTGCCAGCTGTTTCACATTTTCTCCACTGAAGCCTCAAAAGTTCTATAAATGATTTAATGCTCTGTTTTCTAAATTTAAACCTTTCTTTTACTTAGACAACTTTAAAAGTGTCCAAAAGTTCGCTAGAAGAGCCATTGCCACTTCAAACATATAATCAGATGATGAGTCAATCAACAACAAGCCACGAAACGTCCTCGTCTCAAAATGAGTATGGAAGAATTTCCAGATTACAGTGACATAGAAAGTAGGTTATATAGTATTCTAGATATTTCTCTCCTATCACAACAACTTACGTACACAGTGACACAGAAAAATGTTTTATTTCTACTGTTATAACTACCTACGTGCGTATATGGCTGTAGTCAATGAAGGATCTTGTGTGCGAAACACAATAAGTTCTTTGAATTTGGCTATGTCTTCTTCCTTAAGATGGGACAAGATAGGATTAAGACTGAATGTATTGCCGTAGCTACTTAATTATTACATCTTTGGCAAGCATTAAATTAACCATATTTTAGTGTTTTTTGTATAGTTTGAGTACTCAATAAAGATTGTTATGCGATGATCGGATATTTTCTATAATCATACGATGATGACAGTGAGGAACCCGTTATTCAACACAGAGCCCTTCAGTTACCTCCTGCTCCACGTTACGCGTCTTTTTGTAGGAACGATAAGCATTTATTGGAATTTTCTGAAAGTAATATGATAACAGCCGTCATTGAAATCTTATCAATAAATTCTAGAAGTAAGTTCTGTTGTCGGAATGCAATAGGCCATTGCTTTATTTAAAGGAGTGTAGTTTTTCACATATTTCAACGTTGCATTTAAATCTAATGAGTTATTTGGCTTTTTAGATTTGCCGGTGTAAAGCGAGCTGATCTCCCTTGCAGAAGAAGGTATAAGTGCAATTATAATCCTTGTACAAGTAGACCATTTTTTGACAGAAACATGCACGTATAAAATTTCTCTTTTCATCCTAATATAATGTTGATCTAGATTTATATGTCGGTGAACTAGCACCAGAAATCCTAAACACAAAGGATCATGCAGTAACTTCCACATCTACTAGTAGGACACCATCTCAGCGTAGTGGTAAGTTTTCTGTCATGAGAACTGACTAATCAGCAACTTTCATATATTATAACGACTAAAATGTAGAAATAATTTTGATTGATTCTTTTTAAAAAACTTTAAGATTCGTATTGTACATTTACTGTTTTTCTACGCCCATCGTTGCATTATAGGGCTTATGTATGTTCTAGAGGTGCTGTAGGGGTTGATCTTTTAAAATCTTGATGTAATTAGTTGAAAAAATGTTAGTTATAGTTAAAATTGCAGTTGTGTTCACTACGACTTAATCAAAATACATTCGTTCAAATCTAATTGTCAGCGATCGCTATCAAACTACTAAATGAATCTTTCTCCAGGTATTTTATTTCAGTCACCTTTCTGTTTCGGACTTTTGAAACTTTTAGTGCCTTAATTTAAATGACGTTTGCGTGCAATAAAGATATATGTTAACCCAGTACGTGTCTTCTCTGTAGATACATGCAACGTTTCTTCACAAGGAATTCATACAACTGGCACAACAAGTGAAAGACATTCTCAACGAAACAGTGATGTCTTAGGCAGGCTTTTCTTACAATTCATTATTGCATGTTATGTTGTTACGTTTTCATTTACGTTCATTTCGTGTGGTTTGAAATGTTTTTTTTTTCTTCACAACTAACTTCAACACGTGATTGCTTTGCAGATGCGCATGAACTTTCATTGCACGAAACGCCTTCGGCAAGTTTTATGAACATGACACCTGCAGGAAGACGTTCTCAACCAAACATTAATGGTACCTTTTCTATAGTATATAGTTTGTGAATAGCGTTGTTATTATGTATGCGCATTCAATTAGCAATTTGATGCGAGTATTATTTGAATTTTCTTGTTAGCATGTTGTAAGGTTTTATATTTATAATATCTTACGTAGGTTATACATAAGTTATTCTATTATTTTCTTATCTATCTTGTAGGCTTCCAAAGATCAGTTCTCATCAAACTGGAAACATTAATTGATAAGCAAAAAAAAGCGTTGTCAATATTGCGTGCTCTGTTAAGCGCTACTAAAGGTGTAGACGAGCACGAAATTTTGGAAGATGTTGTACCTAATCCCTTAGATTCGGTTGAAGAACTTGAGGACCATTTGTTACCATTTTTTATCATTAAAAAAGACTTTTTTTACCATTTGTGTTTGAAGCTTGAAAACATGCATGTCAAAGTCTGAAACGTAACTTTAATGACGATTTTCGTGACGTTAGGAGGTCAGACTATCTGCTTAAACTATATGAATCTAGCATCGTGTTTTTCGTGAGAGCATTTTCGTGTTCTGATTGATTTAAATACGTTACGGTACTTCAAATGGCTCTAAGGAGTGTGTCGTTTTATTTGTGCTGAAAAATTTTAACGAAGAAACTGGTTTTTCTAAAAGCTCTCACCATTCACTTTGGATGGTTTTGTTTTGCAATTCGAAATCAAAACGGTTTTCTATTTATAAATATATATGTCTAAATTGAACTTTTCCATATATTTTATCTTTAACTCTTTTTACTTGCAGCAGTTTTTGGTAGCACTTTGCGCAAACACCTGTGCAAACAGTGTTAGAAGAGTTATGACAAAGCTGGAACAAATAATCTATGGTCCCAATATAGTTTAAATGGCAGAAAGTCAAAGCGACCATTTTAGCACCTTGCCCTCTTCAAAGTTATAACAAGTAAGAACAATTAGATGATAATGATTGCTGCAGCAGTACCATGTTTTGTCTCTTTTTTCTGGTTCACAAATTGGAAAAACAGCCATTTATGTTGCTCCTTGTCATAAGGAATATTGTTGCAAGTTTTAAAAGGTAAACGTTGTATGAACCTCTGATAAACGTTGTATGAACGTCGGATAAACGTTGTATGAACGTTGTATAAACGTCGGGCTTTGGTTGAAAATACGTTACATCACAACGTTCATCCTAACGTCCCCACCACGTTCCTACGAACTCACAAAAAAACGTTCACTCAACGTTGGTCCCCGACGTTGAGTCAAAGTTCGGCGAGCGTTCGTACGTTGAGACAAGCTGGGAATGGTTTTTTGTACGCCGTTTGTATGTTGTAGCGGTAATGAAAAGGAGAATTTCATCTGCTCGTGAGAAAGCTTAGTATTCACGACATATAATATGTTTCCATGAGTATCGTTTGTTTCGTATTTCGCCTAAGAAATTGCTTTCTCAAAGTTTGTTTTCTGTAAAGTATATTTGTAGGATGATATGGAAATTTCATCATTTCCCAAGCAAAAAACTCCTTTACGTCCACCATTTTAAAAACTGAGTAAGATAGACAAACGTGCATGCAAAAATCAAAAACCTCTAAAAAATCTGATTGGCTAGCGAATTATTTTGGTTGCGAAAAAATTAAAAATTATAAGAACTCAAATTTTCGTCGAGGCGTGATGACGGCTTTGCCGTTTACGTTGCGGTTAGCAGTTCAGGTTTTAAGGGCAGGAGGCCCTTTTTGTTATAGATAAAGTACTGCATGCATTTTAGTGTCTTTCTATTACAACAAAGGGACTTTTGTGAAGCATAGTAATTATTTTAAGTTAGTATAAATCATGAATATGCCAATTAAGATATCAACAGAGTTTTAATAAAACAGGAAATACAGCTCCTGACAATGCAAATCTTAAATAACAAATGCAAAACTACGTATTAAATCCGACTTTTTCGAAGAAACAAACATCTATTGCAAATGGATAATTTAGAATTGCCGTTTGCCGTAAACGCTAAACTAAAACTCTGTATTTGTGCTTTACAAACAACAATAAGAAAAATACAAATATCACTTGAATATAATGCCTAATTTGACACGAGTTGCAAGAAATCGAAATTTGAGCATAATTAAGAGAAGTGAAAGTCTTAAGGCCTGAAAGAATGAGACGCCAAATTATACAAGTTGATGGAGAACGTTTAGTCAGAGATAAGGAGATGAAACTTCAAATGAGAGTTTTATCTCCGTAAAAATCAGATAGGTTGTTTAATTAGAACTCAGGGAGTTGTTCTAGTTTGCGTATGTTATATTTTTTGTTATAATAAACATCCACGCGAATTTTTAAAAAGTTTACCGAAGGAAAAAAGTTGACCTAATTGGTGAATGAATTGGTCGTACAAATTTGATAATTTGGCAACCGTATTGCAGAACGCAATAAAGTACGAAAACTCAGGTTAAGGATTAACGGTTGTCCGTAATCTTAACTCTATCCGTTCAAATGTTCCGTATCGTGAAGTACCAACGTTTGGAACTCCGTATGTAAAAATCGTGCACAGCCACTGTAAATATCTTATCGAAATGTTAAAAACAATTGTTAAAATACAGTCCCATCATTCGAGTGAAGTTTCAGAACAGTGAACCAGACCTTCATACAGATTGTGCGAAATTTTCTATTAGTAGCTGAATTTTGACGAGTCTAATGCAAATTTTCCTATAAATCTCATCAATATTTCTCTCGGAAAACAAAACTCACTATTTCCCTCGGGAGCATACATTAAATTAAAGTGTCCCTTCCGAAGTATTGCCCCTTGCGAAGAAAGCGATGAATCGGAATCAGAATATAATGTTCAGTCATATAATTCTGAGAAAAACTTTATACCGGGATACTGTATAGAAAACTCGGAACGCAATGAAACTTGAGCAATAATGATTGGGATTTTGACTCCAGTATATGGATGGTCGGAAAGACACTAATTCCAATCACATCTTTTTGAAGCCCTGGAAAATTAGCGTTCTTTTGATTCTTAAAACTACTGAACCGACGCTCGCTTGAAGACTCATACGAGAGCTAAAGCTTGATTTATTTGTACAAATGGCTGCAATGCAACTATTTACCATTTTCTGCAAAGGCAAGGCTTTTAGACGCTTATAGACTTTAGCTATGCTTCAGCAGTAGTGACTTGATAGCTATTTAATATAGTCAATACACAACCCGTGTATCAGGAGTACCTTGGATGACGTCGGAAATTTAGCTAGTTTCAGCCTCCTCATTATTACGGTTCACGTGGCTCACAAAAATATACCATTTTAGGGAATTTAACGCTTTACAAAAATCAAACGATTTGACCAAATTCAAATTTTTTTCTCAAAGAGACTTAAAATCATAGACAGATTTGATATTGCTAAAAAATGTTATGTGGAAGAGGCACTTTAAGGGTAAAATTGCGCTCGCCCATTTTTGTGATGACTGAATGCTGTTGAAATTACAAACAGCTTTGAAAACTGATCTCTACCTGCGTTCCCATTACTCTCACATGCGCCGTGATTTCCCTATCTAATAACCCATCAAAGTACAATAAAACTTCGATTTAACGATAAATATGATGCAATTTTACATTATTAAAAAAGGAAGCTGAATGTGTACAAATGCAGCAATGAAAAACGAGTATTTGCTGTAGTGAAATCAGTGGAAGTATTTAGGCATTGATAATATTATGAATATATTCTCTGATGACGGCTTTGGAATTTAGGCATTATCTCATCATAGACAACTTTATATCGCAATTATGGCTAAAATTATCTTTTGCTATTTTCTTTAAACATTACGTTTGTCTGAATCTTTTCGTGTTGCATGATCTTTAGTATGGCTGTAAGATTCTATGTTTACAATGACGCGCATATTATATCCAGACAATAAACAACAATTTAACCAACCTTTGCTTATTTCTTTTCTTTTTTTAAGCGATGGATATCCGCGGCATCAAAACATTTACCAATCACTGGCTTCTTTTCTTCTTTACTTTGTAACAGAAAGGAAAAACACTCCGATGAAAAAAACGTGAGGCGTCAAAGCCAAAGAAATAGGTCTCGCCCTTTCTTTTGTCTATGAAACAAATATGTGAAACATGATCTCTGAAACATGATAGTCGCTTTGTTATTTTGGCCATCAAAACTAATATTGTCGAAACTGGTGCATTTTCTCACCATATATTCATAATAAATAGCTTTCGTTGTTTAATTCACAGTAGAAGATTCCATTCGAGCATTTTAGAAACATTAATTTGATCAAGACGTTTATCAGTTCGTGAAAAGCAGTATTTAGTATAAAATAATTAAATTTGTTTTTGAGCGGAAGTTGTATGGTTTAATAATGAACGACTTGTTGTGATCTGTATATTATTTATCACTTATGACATCATATGTCAGAAATTAAGGTTTAAATGCAAACAATGGATAAATGTTCCTTTATTGGAAGTTGCTTTAAGAAACTACATTACAGCAATATGAAAAACAATAAATTGATGAAGACATTCATAATTTCATGAAACCATGCAGTATTCAGTACAAGCTTTTATCAATCTATATTCGTACGGAAGTTGTATGGTTTCAGCACAAAATAAGATTACCTATTCTGTGGTTTCGACTTTGTAATGTGATCTGCATATTATTTTAGTCATCACTCATGACATCATAAATCAGTAATGTTTGGAAGCCAACCAAAAAAGAATAACTGCTCCTATTGAAAATGCGTGTGTCAAATTGTAAACTTCATACTCTCATAGCTAATTTTGCTTTGAATTTTTTTGGCAACTTGAATGAACAAATGAAAATACCAATGCGTAAGTGCCCAACGATTATGAATTAAATACGAAAGAATAACCTGCGGTATTACTACACGAAGGACGATGCCCGACCGACAATGTAGCACGTATACATCTCTTTGCGGAATATCCTTAAGATCTAAATCAGTATAAAATAAACGTACTGTACATAAAATAGCATGTTCACGATGGGTCATTGAAACAAGTCGTCACTTAGCTATATATTTCAATGTAAAGTTCTAAAATTAAACGTGACTTCTCTGTGAGTTGAAATTTGATTGGGATTCTACAAGTCATCAGTCGGGAACATTGAACTATAATACAAGGAAAGCTACCTAAAGCAAATAATTGAAGCCAAATCTTACACCCAGACACGCGTGTAGTGTTTCAAGATTCTGAAAATTTTTGACTACACAGGCGTATCTGAGTGTAATCTAGCGTGTCTGGGTGTAAAATTTGGCTTCAAGAATTTATTAAGCATTTCTATTAAAGGTAGCGTTCCCTGTATTTTATTAGTTCAATGGTTGAGAACGAAGGAATCACATGAGAAGCGCGCACGTACTTAACTGATCAGTTTTTCACGTGAACAGTTTCAAGTTAAGAAGAACGAAGAGTGTGAAGAAGGGTGTGAATAATATATATGGGCATGTGACTCCTTCGTTCCCGACTGATGACTAGTAGAATTCCAATCAAAAACTCCAACTTACAGGTAAGTCTTGTTTAATTTTAGAATTCTACTAGATCATCAGTCAAGTCACTACGGAGTCAAAAGACATTTCAAACTCCTGCAGCTGTTTACTATGTGCGTATAAATCGAATTGAACAATAAAAATATAAATCTTTTTAAGCAAAATTTAACAGTCTATATCATTTACCAATGCTATTCAGGATAACTGAACTGAAATCACCACCAACTTGTGTTTCTCATAAAACTTCGCGAATGTACCAGACTTGGACAATCCTGCTGATTGCATGATGTTAGATAAATTTAAGCCAGCTGCACAAAAGTTGAAACAGAATAAGTGCTGTGGCAAGAAAATTCTTCTGTGTCAATTCTGGATAGTTAGAGAGTAGCTTTTACCCCACGAGCAACAGTATCTTTGGTCACTACCCTATATGGTTTGTTAAAACTTATAAGCAGTTGGGTTTTTTCTTTCCACAAAATAGTTGTGCACTTAACTTATTCTTGAAGATAACTTATGACGCAAAGTCTCTTATCATCCGGGTAAGGTCGTAGGTGCAGAGGTGCTTGGTGTTTCCCTGCCTTAATTTGCTTAAGTACATGATTGATGGTAATAACACATCCATCATAAGTTGACTGATTAAAATTCGCATAAATTCGGTGGATGGTTCGACATCACTGTCCCGTCAATAAATAAGTAATGTGGCTAAGTTCATTGTGAGGTTTTTAAGTTTAATTTGTTCAACGGAATGAAATTAAATGTTAAGTTCAATGTTAAGTTATTTAGAACTTTCTTCACATCCCATTTTTTAGAGTATTTTAGTGTACATGATTTAAGGCTCAAATACTCCCATTAGAAATCTGCACACCAAAGGATCTTTACCGAATGAGAATCCAGCGTTTGGAAAGATCACCAAAGATAGAGCTGACCGAGTAGTGTTAACAGCACTCTGTACCCCAGCCATAAATGAATAAGTTCGTTAAGAAATTTATTGGCTTTTGCCGTACAGGACTCATGTGGTGGAAGTTTTTGCTGATGAAAAAATTCTTCTCAACGAAACAAATATGACTTATATTGTTTTGTTGTACCTTTACGCCATGATACAAAGAGAATTTCTTTCGCTGCATTTGACAGATTTTGGTTTGTTAGATTTTCCCGGATAAAATGGCGATCAGAATTGATTTTCTTGTAAAGTCGACGAATCTCCTCCGGATGACTGGGGACTTTTAATAGTGTCATCGATGTCTTTAGGTGTATTAGAGGCATTTCCATCATTGCTAGAGCTTTTGGGTATCACGCCTGCGTTAACCAATTTGGAAGAACATGCGTACACACCTTTCGCTTTTTTTTTTATTTTTCCGGTACATTTCCTATAATAATGAAGGGTGGAAAAGCATAGAACATATGTTGAGATCAGAGTAGACTAAATGCGTTCAATGACGTTGCATGAGGGTAAGGCCGTAGGGAAGTAAATTGATAGAGTCTGTCTTTCCAATAAAACTTCAATTATTTACGATCTTTTCTCTAATAGGTATGGAATAAGATGCATTTTTGAGATCGACGCTCACCATAAAACAATGTTTGTCAACTAACTTGATTATCTTACTCATTGAATCCATTCTAAAATGAAGATATGATAAACACTGATTAAATTTTGTAAGATTTAGTATAATTCTAAAAGTGCCGTCATTTTTTAGTCTAGTATATTTAAAAGAACCTTTGACGTTTTTTCGATTATGCTTTTGGTATGCCATTGGTCTATTTTAGAATCTACAGTGTTTGCATGTGACGTCACAGCTTTTCTGTCCGCCATTGTGGGGGAGTTAAGAGCCAACATGGTTTTCTTCAGACTTTTTTTGTGGTGAGGATTGAAAACCTCCTTGTGGTGACCATTGGGCACTAGCATGCTTTGTGAGAAAAGTATTGATAAGTTTTCTTCCTTATTTATCGCATAAATTTCTTACTCTGTCCGTGTCGTTTGACTTCGTTCATCCACGACGTGCTTCATCAAACTTAATACTCTTTAAAGCATCACGGACTTAAAAAACGTAAAATTCTAAAGCATTGAAACTTGGATACTTTATAAACCTTGATTCTATTAGCGTCTACCGCAGAGATCCCACGAAATACTACGCATGCGCACATTAATCATTCTCTACCTTGCTCACCACCATTACAGATGGCGGTTTTGGTTAGATAAGAATAGTCCATAAAATAATTTGCCATCCTGCTGGTAGAACGACAAAAAAGTTTTAACTAACAATACAGGACAAAACACCTATATAACTATTGAGTTTGCGCGAAACTCTTTTTCTGTGGTTAGATAACTTATTCAACAACAAATGGCACAAGTTAGTGAAGCTATTAAGCAAGCAGACGACTTGACGCTCTTGCATAACCATCCTAATCCGACGTTGTCGGGCTTATTAGGAGAAGTGAATGTAGACGATGAATCGGAACAGAAACGGTTTTGTCTACAAGGGAAAATGAGCAAGTCTGGTGGGGCAGGGTATAAACACCCTGCTAAAGCCAACAAGAGCAATCTCCTGGAAGAAAGAAATGACAGGAGAACTGCTCTGGATGCATGACCTTAACAGGAAAGTCGATCAACTAACTGTCTTGATGAGTACTTTTGCTCCTATAGAAAAAGATCTCAAGCAGGCTTATGATGCTGACCGGCAAATAAACGATGGTGATGATATGCCTGAAGATGAAACTGATGACGAACACTCAACCAACAGGGCTGCTGCTGTAGTTGCAGCTACAGATACAGCTTTAGCAAACCAAAGCGATGTTTTGGTAGATGAGCTGATTCACGAAATGACTGAGAATGAGCCAACAGACCAACCATTGCCAACTAAAATTTCTAATATCCTACCTGCATTTTGTCGATCGTCAATTTACAAAATTTGTAGAGAAGGTATCATTGTTAAAAGCATGCATGGACAGGGCGAGTTTATCTCCAATATCTTTCTAAGAGCAAAAAAAGATGGATCCTTTAGAATGATAATAAACCTAAATGAGCTCAACACATTTGTAACATATCACCACTTTAAAATGGAATCTATTCATACTTGTACTCAGCTCATGCGACCTGGGTACTACATGGCATCCGTTGACCTTAGAGATGCCTATTACTCAATACCAACACACATGGAGCATCAAAAATACTTAAAATTTATTTGGAAAGTTAGTCTGAAAAAATTCACATGCTTTGCTCAAGGATTATCTTACGCTTCACGTTTATTTACAAAGATACTCTAGCCTGTATATTCTAAGCTGAGGGAGCTTGGGAACATTTCTAGCGGTAACATTGATGATTCTTTTTTAATGAGCTACTCCTATTCAGAATGCAAGCAAAACGTACGTTAGACTCTACATTTGTTTCAGAATTTAGGATTCCTACCCCGTAATGTTAAATCTGATACGGAACCCACACAGATTTTACAACATTTAGGGTTTGTGTTAAATTCAATAGATATGACTATCTCTATATCCATAGAGAAACACAACAAATTATGCGAGGTTGCCAGGGGGGTGCTAAAATCTGACTCTCCTTGCATACGGGAAGTGGCCAAGTTATTGGTATGATGGTAGCTTGTTTTCTAGGCGTTGAATATTGCCCACTGTTTTATCGTGATCTTGATAGGGACAAAACAACAGCTCTTAAGTCTAACAGGGGTAACTTTGATGTGAAATTGAAACTCTCCCCTTCGGCGCTGGAGGACGTATTATGGTGGATTAATAATG